CCCCAAAACCCCAAAACCCCAAAACCCCTCTAGAATATTTTTGAGTTGAAATACACCAGGTTTAGTCCTTTTTCGGTCTACTCGTTCAAATCCTTCCTTCATTTTGGACAAGAGGACTTTTTTGAGAACCATTCCTTCACTCACTTTTCATGGAAGAAATGTTTGCAAGGAAGTTTGATAATTTTGTGTCCATAGCCATAGTTAGATAGACAGATTGGACAAGTGTCATCTTTGGAGTACTCCTTCTTACTTCTGATTGTTACGACTTTAAACTTTTTCATTATATCTTCCTTCACACCGTCTTTGACCTCTTCCTCTTCTTCATTGCCTATTAAGGAGTCATAAAGCTGTTGTAGGTCTCTGTTTCGCAAGCCTCGGATGTATTCTTCATCAGGGTCTTAAATTAGTGAGGAAGGAGCTTACCATCTGATTCTAGTGCTTCCATTACTGCTTCTGCTTCATTGTTCCAGTCAATGAAGTTCATATTGTACCCATTCGAGTTTCCGCTTATTTGCCTATTGTCAACCCCGCCTCTTGATCTAGAAACAGAAGGGATAGGGTTAGTCCTATTGTCTGGTACAGGAAAAGCCCTTTGATCTTGGTTATAATCTGAGAGAAGTGTTGAAGGATTGATCTCATCAACTCGAGGCACTCTTGAGGACCTATCTTGCCTCAATTGGTATGATTGGTGCATCTGTTCCCAGTATTCAATATCGGGGTCCTTCTCTTCCTCATCGAAAGGATCTTTCACCTCTTCATTTTCTCTAATATATTGGTCATATTCCTCTTCAAGAGCAGTTGGTTCACCAATATGGTCATAATTATGTAATAAATTTTCTTCAAGCCTAGATTTTTCATTCAGCTGATCCATTTGAGCTTCGATAGAGGATCCATTAGGGATACTTATGCCAGCTTCTCCTCTTCTCATGGCTCTTGGGCCATGAGAATTAGACTGCATACTATTTGGAGTCTCCCGAGCTGGCGCTGATGCGATTGCATCACCGAGGCTCATGCCACCCCATGCACTGTTAATCTCTTCTTGTCTGCGTTTTTGCAGCTCCGACTTTGTCAAAGCTGAGTGAGTCGTGAAAGTCTCCATTATCAAATTATTATATCTGAAATCTTAATTTTTCACGGGGTTTTGGGGTTTTGGGGTTTTGGGGTTTTGGGG